GTTATCCCCCGCCCCGCCCCACCACCAGAACTGGACACGCCGTAATTGTGTAGAGCGACTATAATGTCACACCTAGGTATACGCTGGATCTAAAGTGACCGGACAGTGGTTAATGGAGTTGCACCCCCCCCCCCCCAAACCACACACAACACGAAGTGATGTGTTAAATACATGTAGGGAAATGTGTAATGAAATACCAATGTACCATGCCGCCAGAATCATAGTTTTTGTAACAGGTAAAACTATGAATATTGCAATTACCAGTAAAGAGGTGTGTGAACAATACAGTGATCTAACCCATACCTTATCATTTTGTTAAAATGATCTTTAAAAAACACAAAAGCAGTAGCTAATTACAATTGTATGATCTGAACTGCAAGACCAATATTTTGATGACGCATCATGAGCTGTGATAGACGTTGGTTGCGTCACGTTCAGAATATCCCACTTATTAAATTTAGTTTTTCCATAAGAATGAAAAGCGTGGTTTTATACCAACTCTAATTTCGAAAACTTTCATTATACTATAATATGTTAGCATTTATAATGACAAAATATTTAATTCTGATTGTAGACAACATATTTTTGAAAAGACAAATAGTATTAACGAATCGCATTAAGCTTACATATTACATATTACTTAAGTAATTATTGATCTGTTTTGACATTTACAATTAAATGTGTAGACATATATATATTTCCATATTATGAGAGTGATTATTTCCTCTAGTTGGCTTGTCTTAATTAATATTCCAGGAATCAGTATGCAATTTTTTAACAAGAATTTTTAAAAAAGATTGTGTTGCGTTATTGTTTTTAGTTTTATTGTGTGTATATTTTCTTTTTTTTTTTTTTGATTAGAGTGATAATTTTCTTTGTCGGCCTACATTGTGTTTTTTTTTCATTTCTTCAGAGAACAACATTCAATTTATTTTACATCATAGCGAAGCAATGACATACAGCTAGTATAAATAAATAACTAACTAAATAAGTACTTGTAAATAAATAAATATATATATATATATATATATATATATATATATATATATATATATATATATATATATATATATATATATATATATGTATATTTATATATATATATATATATATATATATATATATATATATATATATATATATATATATATATATATATATATAATGATGGAAAAAAATGAAACCTCCCCCCCCCGTTAGAGGATCCTGTCTACGCCACTGACGGAGCGCACGTATATTCACTTATGTGACTAATATTATCCAACGTGTTATCGTCTTGGTCGGATCTCTATTGGGTCTCAACTTGGTCTTTATAAAACATATAAATAAAGCATGTGTAATACTAACTAAAATCAACCGCTGATTTTGATACCATGTTATATTTTGAAAGAACATTTTAGCAAACAATACATCAAGCGAATTTTGAAATTGATAAATAAAGTTAAAGCATCTAAGATTTTGTATATAACATTTTTTTTTCTCGTAATTCTCAAGACCTATAATAAACCTCAGATATAAATATACATATAGGCTATTTATCAGAAAACAAAAATAACAAGAAACTTAACGCGTGAATCATATCAATTTGTAAATTAGAAAGCGAAAAGAAACCAACTAGAAATGTGATTTAATAAAAGTAGTTTCATAGCATATTTAAAGGGCTATTAGTAAAATACATTTAGCGAAATATTTAATTCTAGACCGCGTTAATGAATACACTTTTTAATTTCTCGTACATACAAAGTATAGAGAAAGTCTTGTAATCGTGCAAAAAAAAATCGAGAATTTTGCAAATCTCGACGTTTTACACCTCCCTGAGTCGGAAAAACATAATTTTGCAATCTTGTCCTTATGTCTGTGTATGTGTGTTTGTGTGTATGTGTGTGTATCTGTAAACACGATAACTTGAGTACAGTTGCAGCTAGGTTGATGAAATTTCATATATTAGTATTATAATAAATTTGTAGAATCGTATTAACTTTCCAGTGATTTCCGATAACCGGAAGTTAAACTTTTTCTACTTTCAATTTTTCAAAAGTACTATTTCAGATAGATAAATGAAATTTCACATATAGAAGAACAGAAAATCATAAATTGATCAAAATTTTATTTTTGAAACCAGTTCTAAAAAAAAATTGAAAAGTATTTAAAAGTCGCTTACCAACAGGGGTATTAACCTTTCCAGTTTAGCACATGAGGAGGCAATGACGACGTGGCGTGCTGGAGGAGGCCGATAGAAAGGAATTGGGAGCAGCTGAACAGAGTTACAGGAGACAGTGGGGACTGGGAAGACAGATGACTTATGATCCGCAAGAAACGAAAAAACAAGTTAATTAAAAAGTCTAGTGACATTTAAGCGCAATTTCCTTATGTTATCTAAAAATAGCTCTGACGTATAATGCTGGGGTGCGTTCAAGCTAGGAGAACGATCGGTTTGTAGGTGTTTATTTAATTTTAAAATTTGTGACCGAACGAAAGGATATTTTTGAAAACTTTCTTCGGCAATATTGTTCTAAATTATGGCAGGAATCGATTGGTAAATGTTTCAAGTCGCTAAGTGGTCTGCTTGCCGAAATATGGGCCAAAAACTGCATTTTTTCGAGGGTTTTTTTTGGCTTTTCTGGGAAATCTATTAAGGAATTCCAGAATTTTTTTGGCCCACTATCATCCTCGTAACTTGCTTAACATAACTGCTTTGGAACTAGTCCTCGATATTGCTTCGTTGAGGAGGAGATACGACTTAAAACCCGGACACACATTCCCAGAAAAGACAAGTTAATAAACGCAATTCTCCAGAATGGAAATTGCGCTAAAAAAGTGACAGTCAAATCAAGACTTAACACATGTTATCATTTATTTTTACTGTAACCATTTCACGTGTTCTATGTATAAAGGGGCTGTGATTCCATGGTTTAAATATTTGATTGGATATATTAATTACCCAACAAAGTTTACAAGATTTGATTGTTTTGATTCACTCGGGAGACATGTTCCCATAGGCAAATTGCAGCTACTCATTTTCAGCTTACTCCGGACATCAGAGAAGTAGAAGTAAAATGTTGACATTAAATGATGTCATTATTTATTTAACTTAAAATACATAACAAAGCGCAGTTAAGATAGCCAATGTGCTTTGATACACGTTAAACTATATTATTGACAAAGCAAAGAAATAACTAATTAGCTAAAAATACGAAAGAATTAAATATATCATAGGCTACCAATCGCTTTAAAAAAATTAAGACCAAATTAGATACAATATTAAAATAAAAAACAAAAACACCATTTTAATTGCCCTCACAGATTTAGTGATAAAAACCCGACCATTCAATATTTGTTGTTTTTTAAACTCTTTTTTCCCCCCGAGAAAATTGGATACATTTCATAACGTATATCTTGATAACTATATCTATAGATCTAAAACCAATTTGTATAAAATAGTTCATTTCTTAAAATTCTAAAACTGGAAGATGTGGGATGCCAATCTCATTGAATATGATGTCATCAATGTTGTGTGTATAATTATCGACAACACTAATGACAATGTAATTTTTTTTCATCGTAAAACCAATAACGCCATTAGTGTTGTGTACTTTTTGTAGTTTAAACTTTTTATTAACATTGTTTCGTGGGTATTTAGGACAACAGAACGTATAGCGTACGATACAACAAACTAGATAACAGTAGTGATAATACAATATAAGAAAGTTTATTATATTATAATTTAATATAAAAATATACAATATGAGAAGTTATATATATATATATATGTATATATATATATATATATATATATATATATATATATATATATATATATATGTATATTTGTTCGCTATGTGAGTTTTAATTGTGGCTGAACAATGAACTAATTCGATTCTTTAGTGTAATTAATTAATATGACTGTTAAGAAAATAATCCATTGTATAGCTGTCGTTACTTTTTATAACATTTTGTAAAACTTCATGTTGTTGTTTATTTCATATCCCGAGACGTCCTTGGGTCAACCCGGAACTGATGTGTAACTGACTCATGTTGGGGAAAGTAAAGGCGACTGGGCATATTACTGACCACGATAATGTTGGGGAAAGTAAAGGCGACTGGGCATATCGCTGACCACGATAATGTTGGGGAAAGTAAAGGCGACTGGGCTTAGTACTGACCACGATAATGTTGGGGAAAGTAAAGGCGACTGGGCATAGTACTGACCACAATAATGTTGGGGAAAGTAAAGGCGAATGGGCATAGTACTGACCACGATAATGTTGGGGAAAGTAAAGGCGACTGGGCATAGTACTGACCACGATAATGTTGGGGAAAGTAAAGGCGACTGGGCTTATCGCTGACCACGATAATGTTGGGGAAAGTAAAGGCGACTGGGCATATCACTGACCACGATAATGTTGGGGAAAGTAAAGGCGACTGGGCTTATCGCTGACCACGATAATGTTGGGGAAAGTAAAGGCGACTGGGCATATCAGTGACCACGATAATGTTGGGGAAAGTAAAGGCGACTGGGCATATCACTGACCACGATAATGTTGGGGAAAGTAAAGGCGACTGGGCATATTACCGACCACGATATACCCAGGGCATAGAAACATTTAATTATTCTTCCCCTGCCTCATGGACCACTTTACTTTTACTTTACTTTTGTGATATTAACGATATGCTACAAATTAGAACCATCTCTCCATAGTATATTTAGTGTATCTGGTTTGGACGATTGAAGGTTCAATGTTTCTTCTTGTGCAGACCAAGATAATGATATTTGTTTTAATTAGGTTTAATCACTTGCCTTTTAATAGCAGTTACAACTTATGACAAAAACATTAGCAGTTAATTGGTCCGAATGATTTTTTTTCTTTTGAAGTAAGATATAACAATCAAATACACTCATTACCATTGTACGTAATTAAAATAATAGACGTTTCTAGTAGATAAGTACCTATCTAATGAAGACGTTACATTGTCACAAGTCAAATCAAAATAAAATGAATTTTAATATTTAACCCAGTTTATTTATGTTTTAATTTACAAGTGATCGCTGCATCACGCGATGAAATATTTAATTTTGGAAATTATTTTTTTAATTAGATTTCTGGTTTGATGCCGTAGACTCCTCACTCTGGTTTGGTTTAAATTTCTATACCGTGTAACATATAACAACTGCACTCGAGGGTTCCCCCGGTACAAGTTGTACTTTCCAAACACCCAACAGCATATGTATCCTCTGGACAACTATGACAATTTTGGATGGCACAATCCGAATCTGAACTGTAAATTTACAAAATTATACATACATGACAGCGGAATATAATAAAATTATAAACATTCCTTATGTGTAAATATCTATTTGTCTATATTTATTCATTTTTTTTAAATTCTGTTAACCCTTTATCTACCGGCAGTACTTAATTAAGCGCCTATATTATTACTTTCTCATATATACGAAATATAAAGAACGTTTTGTAATCGTGCAAAAAAAATACATATTTTTGCTAATCTCGACGTTTTACACCTCTCTTAGTCGGAAAAATACAGTTTTGCAATCTTGTCCGTATGTCTCTGTGTGTGTGTGTTTAAACACGATAACTTGAATACCGTTACAGCTAGGTTAATGAAATTCCATATATAAGTATTATATCAAAATCGTAGATTGGTTTCAACATTTTAGTGAAGTCCGATAACCGGAAGTGAAACTTTTTCTACTTTCAATTTAAAAAGCCTGTAACGTGAGTACTTTTTCAGATAGAAACATGTAATTTCACATGTAAGTAAAAGCTCTAAATCTCCGCCTTCTGTAAAACTTTGAGTAATTTCCGTTAACCGGAAGTAGGAATTTTTGCTATTTCTTATTTCTCTAAAAACTCATGTAAATTTATAAAGTACTAATAATATTTCGCACTATTATACACATTTTGCTTTGCGTTCTCTTGGTTTGCAATTCTTTTTTTTTCACGAGATTCTGTTCTATTTTAAAAAGTTTAAGTATATAAAAATGGATGAAAAATATTGTCTATATCCAGAGTTATCCCCCGTAGTGTCATATAAAAATATTCTAGAAAGTTTAGGACTTGATCGCCATAGTGTGATATATCTATAGTGCTCACCATCTAAATTAATGATATAAAAAATTAATATTAAAGGTGTTATAAAACAATTTTCATTTTCCAAAAGTATAGTGTCAATTGACGGCATGTGCATCAAACAAAATTGAAAAATTTATCCCCTTCACAAAAAGCCTTTTTTGTGTCTGAAAATTGTTTACTTTTTGCCCTTTAGCACCAATTACGTCCCTTGATAAATTAGGAAAACACAGTTACTTCCCTTTACAAAAAACATTACCGGGGGGGGGGAGAGGGTAGGGGGGTAGGGGAATACTTTTTAATTCTTTTTTTTTTGGGGGACAAAAGTAATCACATAGTTAGCGTGGATTGATATAATTAAATCTGGTAATTAAAACTCAGATATTTTAATTACTGCCTTTTATTTATTTTACACACTAAATGTCATGTTTACTAATTACTTTTTAAAATCAATAACAGTTAAGGAACCAGCTCCTAAATGTTCTCTATGTTTATTTCTGTATTTCCGTTTGCGGATAAGCTTGGGGTATTATAATAGTTAACTAAATTGAATCAGACGCTTCCGACTGCTCCCCGGCAGAATTCAATTTGCGCCTTGGGCTATCCTGTGAGCGCTATAGTGCGTACTATCGTTTTAAAAAGTGCGATAGATTATTGATAAAAAAAAATTACTCTAGTCTCTAATTGAAACGAATCCGGGCGTCCTCTGGCGCCCCGACAGGGTGTTAATTGGCACCCGGGGCCTTCGCGTGTCAGCTATGAATATGTTAAGGTACTATAGTCGTTTACTAAGTTGAATAAGTCGGTTCCGCCGGAGACTCTGCTTGGTGCCATGCTGTGCCCCGAGGTTAGACTGTCAGCACTTTGCACTTATGTTTGCATTTAAGTGTGTGTGTATGTCTGCGTTTATCTGCATTATTTTGTGTTACTGTTTTCGTTTAGGTTTTCGTTTGTGTTTTATATTTGTATTTGCGTTTGTGTTTGCTATTTTCTTTTCTTTTCGTTTGTGTTTTTTTTTTTTTTTTTTTTTTTTTTTGGGTTTTGGTTTGCGTTTGTGGTTGGTTTAGTGTTGGCATTTGTGTTTGGATTTGTTATCGTTTGCTCTTTTGCTTGCCTTTGTGTTTTCTTTGTGTTGTGTCTGCGTTTGTGGTTGCGTTTGTGTTTCGTTTGTTTTTATTTATGTTTGTGTTATGTTTGCGTTTTTTGTGTCTGTGTTTTTTTTTGGTTGGTTTTGGTTATGGTTAATTCGAAAAAAGAATATTTCTCCTAAACCCGGGAAGTGTCGGGTATATGTTGACTACTAAACACACAAGTCAAGGTCCTTTACAGATGTTTTTTTTACAAAGGCCAGTATATGTGTTTATGTATATGTACTTTATACTTTATACTTTACCTGATACATCCCCCAAACTTCCATGTGTCCTCCTCCGAACTGATATCCGAACTGACCTTCGAACTGACCGGGTACGTGAGACAAAGTATCAATAGTATAGATCGCAACATGCTGCTAAATATAAAAAGCATATGTAAGGACACATGCTTATAATCATATTACAAATAATCATTAACACACACATTGCTTGAGACATAATAGTAATCGTCTCGGTCATACTGATCAATAATATTTTCCATTTTTTTGCGACGTCCTCAAAATTGGCATAATGCTAAGGCTGTTGAGAATACCTGACACGTTGTATCGCTAAAATAAATTCATGTTTTCAAAAAAATACTAGGACATCATATTGGAGGAAACAAAAAAAAAGTTTATTAAACTATGTATATATAATATTTTTGCTGTAGGACGCTTACCGGAACAATTAAAGTAACTTTATTTTAAATAATTATAACACAAATATTAAGTCTTACCTGGAATACATTGGTGGATGTCTGCAAGAAATGTATGAAAGAAGCGATAAGTTTTTTTAAAGGGTAGCACAAGATTACATGCAGAGGCGGAACTAAAAGATAATAAGCTTCTCCGTAGCGCCCATATAAAGGTAAAACGATTTCACATTTTGTTTTTTTAATTGAATCACCCTCGATCAAAGTATATTTATTATTAGACAAAACCCCACAAGAACTATGGCGCAAACTTATTTAGGACCTACAACACACGAGTCTTTAAAATATTTGAAACTCATTTCATAACTCTCAAAATTCGTAAAAAGTGTAACTGGCATGCCAATCAATAGCATAATATGTAATGTATAGTGGTTTCAAGTGTCCGCTATGTAATAACGTTTATTTATTTTATATTGTTATTCTCCCTCTATCTATCTATCGATATATATATATATATATATATATATATATATATATATATATATATATATATATATATATATATATATATATATATATATAAAGAAATGTATGTCTGTGTGTCTTTTATGCATTTGTTTTTTCTCTATATACGTATAAATAAAAGTCGATTGCGTTTTGACATCGTTCATCCGATCGGCATCAAACTACGGGAGTTGATTAGAACACTTCAGATGAGGTTTATGTAAAAAATCATTTTTAATTTTGCAAGGGCGGCTCCCGGCAGGATGCGATTTGGCGCCCTGGTCTTTCCAGTGAGCGCTGGCGAGTACGTTTGTTCTAAACAGTGTGATAGACAATGGATAAGATGGGGCGTTACAGTCGCTCACTAAGTCAAACCAGGCGTGTCCGCCGGCGCCACGGTAGGGTGCTATTTGGCTCGAACAAAAATTTCAGTTTCGGCCCCCAAAGGCTCACATGGGCTGCTGAGGGCCCTGTAATAATTTTTTTTTAAATAATCACATACATTAACCAACGTTAGATTTTTAACTGGGTTGTTTCCTTTTGTCCGTAAAAAAATCCTAACAATTTCATCACTTTGGGAACGAATCAATTAGCATCTATTTTTAGACGATCGAATCAGAAATTGAGATAATAATACACCATTAGTAACGCTAAAAAATTCCATCAGTCACACTGATGTTTAACGCGTTAAAATGTTTTTCGACGTGGTAAATAAAAAACCCTGTTGATTTGTGTCACTTTAGCGAATGATGCAATCTGTATCATTGTTTCAGGATGCTATGTGGCGCTCTGTGTTATCCTGAAAGTACTATTGCGCCTGTGTTAGTTTTAAGGAGTCAGTGGCCGTACGCGGTGCCTCTGAGGTAGTGTAATCGGAAGCTCCTAAGAGCGCCTTCTACGTCCCTGACACACGGACAGTCTCCGTCCCTGACACACGGACAGTCACTGAAGTGTGCTTTACCTCATTAATTTGGTGAGTGATTAATGTACACTCAAGGTTTTCTTGCGGTAATGTAGGTAAACCCGTGTCCCGATATTTATGATCCAAGCGCAGGCATTGTTTACATTTAAATCACTCAGTTTTAGAAAACAAGGTCCTGCGTTTATGTTTTGCCGTTATGTTTTCGTTTAGGTCACGTTTATGCCTGTGTTCATGTTTGTGTTTGTGTTTATGTTTCCGTTTATGTTTATTCTTATATTAAATCTTAATCGTCCATATTTACATGTAGACTATTCATTGAAAATTGTATACATTCCTAAATTCCAGACAGATATGATGGTCAAACAAATTTCCCAATTAAGAGCTGAGGCTAAAACCAAACACCTGCCGAAAGACACAGATTAAAGTCGGCAAATGGGGGTGGATAGGGCATACCATGAAAAGTGGAGAGGGAATCACTAGAAAAGTGTTAGACTAGAATTCCCAGGGGAAGAGAAAAGTAGCCCGGTCAAGGAAATCCTGGAGAAGGACGGTAGATGATGAGGTAAGGTCTGCCGAGCTTACGTGGGCGCGAATTAAGAGCCGCTCTAAACCCAGTCTGTTGGAGAGGTGTGGTAGCAGCTCTTTGCTCCCCAGGAGCCACAAATGAACAGGTCAAACAGACAACACATAAATATTTACCTGAAGGCTGTAGGTTTCTTTATGCGGTCTCAACAACGACTGTATGCAGCGTGTTATGTGTCTGTTGTACCAGCTTATATTATAGATCTAAATCAGTGGTCTACAAACTTTTCAGCCTGAGGGCCGCATTGACTATCAAATATCGGTTCGGGTGTCAGAGTTATTTGAAGGCACCTCTTTGGGGTGGCGGAGGCCTTTAGGTGGACGTGGAGATCAGAATTTAGATTTCCCTCTCTTCTAGTTTTAGGTTCAGAAAATTTAGTGACTAGTTATGTCTGCAGCAGAGGCCAATTTCTATACCCACTCTTCATCAGACATTAATGGCTGTGACTTGCCTTTACTTTCCAGGAAGTCACCTATTTCCTTTCTTAACTTAAATACTCTGCTAAGAGTTATATCACAACTTAGCCATCCTACTACTCTGTATTATGGTAAATCTTACGATTCTTTGCCTGTATCTCTCAACGTGTCACTGAATTGTCTGTGGTTGAGCCCATGTAACTTCATGAAATTCTCCATCTTTACATTTTCCGTGGACAAAAGATCTCCGCGGGTCGGAAGAGAGGACCTCGCGGGCCGCATCCGACCCGCGGGCCGTAGTTTGGAGACCCCTGATCTAAATCATAGCTTGAATGGTTTGTTTAGAAGCGGGATATAGGTAGGCGGATAGGTGGTGCGGGACTGGGTAGAGGTGGCGGACGGGTGGGATAGCAGCGGGGAAGTCAGTGGGGGACGACAGCGGGTAAGAGGTGGGTGGTGGTGTAGAAGACAGAAGTATTGAGTTAGGTGGTGGGGGACGACAACGGATAAGAGGTGGGGGTGGTGTAGAAGACAGAAGTATTGAGTTAGGTGGTGGGGGACGACAACAACGGATAAGAGGTGGGGGTGGTGTAGAAGACAGAAGTATTGAGTTAGGTGGTGGGGGACGACAGCGGGTAAGAGGTGGGTGGTGGTGTAGAAGACAGAAGTATTGAGTTAGGTGGTGGGGGACGACAACGTGGAAAGGCCCGTGTCGTATGGTAGAGGTGGGGGGGGGGGTGTGGGGCAACATCGATATTGATAACCACAGCCAATGGTAAAACCGTCATTTGATAGGTCGAGCGCTAACTAATCGAAAAAAGATAATACGATTCGCATTTCAAAAGCTTGTTTAGTACAGTCTATAGTAAAGCCGTAAAACCTCATCATCTGATGTGGAATTAGCTGTCTAGCTAAATTGAAGACAGCTGGATAGCATGAGAATTGCTGCCTAGTGTGGGGTTAGCTGCGTGGCTGGTGTGAGAATAGCTGATTAATTTGTGTGAGAATACCTTTCTAGCTTGTGTGGAAATAGCTGTTTAGTGTGAGAATAGTTGATAATTTTACGTGAAAATAGCTTGATTGTGTGAGAATAGCTAGTTAGGGTAGCTGTTTAATTGGTTAGTTCTATGCTGTAAGGTGATGCACTGTTTAATCCCCGAAAGACAATGTAATATATAATATAGTTGACACTTTATGACTGAATAGCTATAACAGAGATAGAATCGATGAATAGATGCTCCGAATAATGTATAGAAAATATGTTGATGTGGATGTTGTGTAGCGACATAGATGTGTATAAGGCACAGCCATACTGTTGAAGTGAATATTGTAAAACTGTATAGGTAAAAAGGAAATCTTACAAATCTAATTCGACAAGGTGAAGCGTAGATTTCTATAGTATGAGACCATTGTGAAGGTACTCTAAGGTCATCTGACGGTCATCATGACATTATGAAGTGGGCGTGGTTGACCTCTAGCAAACTAAATTACAACCTTAAATGCGTTCTATTACGTTTTGTTCAATTCTTTACACATTAAGATCATCAGAGCTTCAATGTTTATTATAAACGTTGTATTATATTATACCTAAAGCCTATTGATTTTGTATAGATAATTTAAAATATATTTCACAAGACCTGTAAAACTGCGTAGATAAAAATTTGGGTCATATCGTATGGTGTGGTCACACAAGACGTTGGTTTGTTTGTCCCATGGTCATTTTTGCCTTGTTAATTATTCCATAGTTTAAAACTTTATATTGCACGGAGTGGCCTTGCGGTAGAGAGCTGGACTGCTAACCCGTGATTCTCGAGTTCGAATCCGGGTCAGAAGACCGTCCCTGGGTCTGGTGGGTACCTAACTCACGTTAGGTTGTGTCATGGTGGCTGGGCATAGTGCTGACCACATTATTCCTTCGTATGCCGAGTTCACATAAACAAGTGAAGTTTACTTTTATTATTTTTCTGACGTGGTTGCGAGCCCTTAAAGTCAACTCAAAAAATGTGTTCATCCTGTGTTTGTAGCAAGTCAAAACGTTCAAATACTCTAACTTATCCTAACCCAGGCTAGGCCTGTAACTAGCCCCTGATGTCCAACATTCATCATTTTGTTGGTGTGACAACAAATACGTGACATTTGAGCGATTAACAAAAGCGAGGGGGTTACAGTTGTGTGGGATGATAGTAGTGGTAAGAGGAGGAGGGGAAGGGGTTAAGAGGCTGTGGAGATAGTGTCTAAATGTGACGGAGAGAGGGGGGGGGAGAAGAGTTTGTAATATGTTGGATGATGGTGAGGATTTACGGGGGTGGAGGGGGGAATTTAAAAGGTTGTGGTGGATTTTCGTGTGAGGGAGATTAGTGGGGATGTGGTGGATGTTAAGTGTGAGGGAGATTAGAGGGGAGTATGGTGGATGTTAATTGTGAGAGTGATTATGGTTGGTGTTAAGTGTGAGGGAGATTAGTCGGGATTATAGTGGATGTTAAGTGTGAGGAAGATTTGTGGGGATTATAGTGGATGTTAAGTGTGAAGAAGTTTAGAGGGGATTGTGGTGGATGATGATATCATTTGTCCCGATATATTTTGTCCTGGTATCTTTTGTCCGTGAGATCATTTGTCCTTGAGATCATTTGTCCTGAGATCATTTGTCCTGAGATCATTTGTCCGTGAGATATTTTGTCTGAGATATTTTGTCTGAGATCATTTGTCTTGAGATCATTTGTCATGGAACTATATATATATATATATATATATATATATATATATATATATATATATATATATATATATATATATACATATATATACATATATATATATATATATATATATATATATATATATATAATACTACAATAATATAATCAATAACAAACAGTTTAAGGTTAAATTAGGACATATACTTAACACACTCTAAGTCCACCTCCAAAACCACACGCCCACCGACCGCCACACACCCTTACACACCCTCTGTCACCCGTGAACCGACAATCCTTCCGTGATAATCTCTCGGGCTATAACTATAATAATATACAACAAGAGGTACCTGTCGTTCAAGGACACAATTCACAAACATACACAGAGGACGCTACATGTAAAGGACGTAACATAGTCTAGATCTCTACCGCTAGGCCACTCCTTCCCCTGTTTGTATTCTTTAATCATTACTGTGATCTTCATTAAACACTTTACTGTGTGTTTGCTTAGCTTAATACTTTACTGTGTGTATGCTTTACTTAACACTTTACTGTGTGTATGCTTTACTTAACACTTTACTGTGTGTATGCTTTACTTAACACTTTACTGTGTGTATGTTTTACTTAACACTTTACTATGTGTATGTTTTACTTAACACTTTACTGTGTGTATGCTTTACTTAACACTTTAGTGTGTATGTTTTACTTAACACTTTACTGTGTGTATGTTTTACTTAACACTTTACTGTGTGTATGTTTTACTTAACACTTTACTGTGTGTATGCTTTACTAAACACTTTATTATGTGTATGTTTTACTTAACACTTTACTGTGTGTATGCTTTACTTAACACTTTACTGTGTGTATGCTTTACTTAACACTTTACTGTGTGTATGCTTTACTTAACACTTTACTGTGTGTATGTTTTACTTAACACTTTACTATGTGTATGTTTTACTTAACACTTTACTGTGTGTATGTTTTACTTAACACTTTACTATGTGTATGTTTTACTTAACACTTTACTGTGTGTATGCTTTACTTAACACTTTACTGTGTGTATGCTTTACTTAACACTTTACTGTGTGTATGTTTTACTTAACACTTTACTATGTGTATGTTTTACTTAACACTTTACTGTGTGTATGTTTTACTTAACACTTTACTATGTGTATGCTTTACTTAACACTTTACTGTGTGTATGTTTTACTTAACACTTTACTGTGTGTATGCTTTACTTAACACTTTACTGTGTGTATGCTTTACTTAACACTTTACTGTGTGTATGCTTTACTTAACACTTTACTGTGTGTATGTTTTACTTAACACTTTACTATGTGTATGTTTTACTTAACACTTTACTGTGTGTATGTTTTACTTAACACTTTACTGTGTGTATGTTTTACTTAACACTTTACTATGTGTATGTTTTACTTAACACTTTACTGTGTGTATGCTTTACTTAACACTTTACTGTGTGTATGCTTTACTTAACACTTTACTGTGTGTATGTTTTACTTAACACTTTACTATGTGTATGTTTTACTTAACACTTTACTGTGTGTATGTTTTACTTAACACTTTACTATGTGTATGTTTTACTTAACACTTTACTGTGTGTATGCTTTACTTAACACTTTACTGTGTGTATGTTTTACTTAACACTTTACTGTGTGTATGCTTTACTTAACACTTTACTGTGTGTATGCTTTACTTAACACTTTACTGTGTGTATGCTTTACTTAACACTTTACTGTGTGTATGTTTTACTTAACACTTTACTATGTGTATGTTTTACTTAACACTTTACTGTGTGTATGTTTTACTTAACACTTTACTATGTGTATGCTTTACTTAACACTTTACTGTGTGTATGTTTTACTTAACACTTTACTGTGTGTATGCTTTACTTAACACTTTACTGTGTGTATGCTTTACTTAACACTTTACTGTGTGTATGCTTTACTTAACACTTTACTGTGTGTATGTTTTACTTAACACTTTACTATGTGTATGTTTTACTTAACACTTTACTGTGTGTATGTTTTACTTAACACTTTACTGTGTGTATGTTTTACTTAACACTTTACTATGTGTATGTT